GAGGCGCTCCCTGAGGCAATCCTCAAGGTGCTCCTCAAGGTGCTCCCGAGGCGCTCCCTGAGGCGCGTGGAGCCGCAAACCCGGAGCGACAGGGCCTGCCGGCCTCTCATGGCACCTCAGCACATCGTCGGGCCCTGCCAGTGTGTGACCCACCCTCCTGCCCGCCCGCCCGGCCGCCTCAGGGCTGTCCTGCACGCCGCGGCATCGCATCGCGCCGCGGAGAACGCGCCACCCGGCCCCACAGCCACCTCGACAGGACTGAGGCCCTGGCACAAAGCAGAACACAAAGAGGTGTGAGGAGCAGACGTGAAGAAATGAGCGAGGTTCTGCCTAGGTACCAATCTATACTTAGGTTATTATCTGAGATACGCTTTACTGCTTGATTTCTCCTCTCTCCCCAGCTCTGTCTCCAGAATAATTTCAGAATCTYGTCTTTAGTGTACATTCAATATAATGCTTATTTCTGCCAATTTGAAAAAAAAATAAACAAAACAGAAGTGAAATTTGTCTCGGATGTCTGTGAGTTTACTTTGATAAGATTTGCAATTGAGATTTTTGCCAAGTGCCAAGAAACCATTAGCATGTGATTTCAGCAAAAGCAAGATGCAAAAGCAAGATGTATTTACCAGATATCCTCTTCATATCCATGCCAACATGAACTGCATCATTCATCAAAGAAATACATGTACATAAATATACATGCCCAGTAGGTATGTTTCTTGTTCTTGTATATTTTTCTTGTTCTTTCTCCGTCTCCTGGCCATTGCCCACAAACCCCAGGCCTTGCTCACAGATGGGTAACAACCTGAAAGTTCTCAGCTACACCTGAGTCCCCCAGCACCTCCTTCAACCCACGCAAATCCCTGCAAGGTAATTGGGGGCTGCTGCTCACACACAACCTCTGCTAAGTTTGAAAATGCTAATAAGAGAGATGATGATCTCCAAAGAAGCAGGATCGACAGTGCTAAAAACAAAAGAGCAGGTCAGGGAAGCTTTAGCTGGTAACATGAGGCTCATCTTCTATCTGTTTAAATTTCCAGAACCACTGAGCTCAACATAGAAGCACGTTGCAAGCAGCAGCCAGCACAGTGGCAATGTTACAGGTTTTCCTCAGTAGATCAGCATATATTTCACAGAAGATGCCTTTAATCTACCACTTAATCAACTCTTCAAAAGGAAATGTCTATCCCATTTTGTAGAATATAAGCAAGCTGTATTCTGAGATGACAGTTGTTCCATAGGTTACAATGAATCTTTCTAATTTTTTTTTTTTTTTTTAATGACTGGAGTAAAAATGAAGTATTAAAATTAGAGAGATGAATCTGGGTTACCTAGTGGAATCCCAATGATGCCTTAATATAGCTGTGCACTACTCAACCACTCAACAAGGCACCTAGTGCCACGAACCCAGTCATATAGTGAGTCATATATATTGGTGCAGAATCACACCTTAAACTCTAAAATGCATCTTTTTTTTTTCTACCAAAACAGAGAAAAGCCGTAAGAAACATTTATTTAAGTCTATCAAAAAATACATTCAATACTCCCTCCCAGTCTGTTGTTTTAAATAACTACTACTTAGACACAATTGAGATACTTCTTTTGGCTACTCTGACAAGGTTAACCTTGGTCTCCCTCTTAGTTACAGATCTTGCTGTCTTTATGCAAGACATCCTGCTGTCAGTATTTACAAGGTCACAGAAAAAACAGCACTCTGCCCTTGCTGGGTTTCATTAAATAAAAGAGAAAACATGTCTTTGTTCATTGAGATTAGCACTGTCAAAAGTGACAGAACATATAAAACTCCAAGTCAGATATCATAAAAACAACAACCCACAAAACTAGGTCTTTGGGAAAGGCGACTCAGTTGAGCTGCTCCTAATMAGGCAGCATGTATCCTGCTGCTGCTTATTTTTTAATAGAGACAACCATCGGTCCTCTATTTTAACATCATTTGTACAATTTCAGGTTCAATTCACCATTTCACTGTGGTCTACTTCCTGTTTCAATCACACTGTTATTTTAGCTAGTTGAACAGAATGACTTTTCCCAATTTCTATGTTATCAGTAATATCAGAATTTATTGCTATGATTCATAGCCCTTCTTTATTAGTGCCCTGACAAGGCATATTAGTAACTCTAGAAGAGAAAAAAAACACTGAAAAGCAAAGCCTAAAAATCATTGAAGTAATACTTTTTTCTTGCCCTTCTTAAGAAAAGGCAGCAAAAGATATTTCATTTTTCTCCACATTTCTGATGGTAGAGCTGAGCTGAAAAGGAATAATAATTAATATCTTTGTTCCATCTCATTAATAATTAACTGTCTTGAGGACAGTTGAATTCCTACCATCTGCAGACTGTGCCCAGGTTGCTCAAATATCAACCACATTTACTATAGACTTTGTGCTTCTATCCATCACCCTACAATGCAAAGTCTTCTTTATATATCAAGCTGAACTGTATTAGAGTGGTAATTGTGAAACTGATTGCACATGAAAAGGCTTCAATTCCACCAGCTCATTAAAAAAAATCAGTTTTTAAATGTGAGCAAAAAGCAAAYTAGAGCAAAGCCTATCTTATTTCCAGAAATCCAACCGTCAGTTCTGTATTCTTCTACAATTACTCAACACAAGAGTAAATTTTCATTGTAGCCATGAAGCCATAYAACGATCATTGTTCAATATGGACAATAACGGGCTATTTGAAACCACATATTTAAATAATTATGCACTTATAAGACTTACCTTGCTGAAAGAATGAAAGATCTCTCTACACTTTCTATGTTCAGTTCGTTCTGATAGGCTTCCTGAGTTGGTTTTTTAACCTATAGTTAAGAGAGAAAACTTCACATTGAAGCTGAAATTGTACTTTTTTYCCCCTTAATTGCAAAAGGGATACATTGAAGAGAAGTTCTCATGTATAGGAGATTATACACTAGTCTAGGTAGCCCAGCTATATAGTAAGATTACATGCWGCCCACTTTTATGTCCTTGTGGGTTCCCTACTAACACTGGAGATGCACAGGGGAATGAAACTCAAGAGCTGGCAGGCGCCCCCAGCTGTGCTTCAGCCTGCCTAGGACCTTCTAGGAGCTTCTCCTCCAAGTAGGCAAAACCAAACAAGATATTGCTGCTACAGACCAGACCTCTGCTGCTCTAGGACAAGATGCAGCCCACAGCTGTGGAATGGGCGTCTTGCCCATACCAGCAAGGGCTGGACCACCCTGGTGATCCCTCACTTCCGAACTCCTAAGTTTCAAATATAACTGAGTTCAAAGTTGAGTGGTTTGGAGCCACCACAAGACACTTGTTGACATAAAAGAGGCCACAGTTCTGCCTGTGAAAGTTTCAGAATTGAACTCCAAATGAACTTAATGCTTTTCTGCAACAGGAACAGGGGCGAGAACTGAGGTCCTGAGGTGACTGTCTTGTTCAAACTGACTGTCATGTTACAGACCATGTCAATACATGATATGGATATTCCTTGTCACAAGCCTAAGGGGTTTAGATCTTAAAACTGGTGCTTTTCACAAGATTTAGAATCAAGCCATTTTTTTCCCTTTGCAATTAGCAGATCCTTATAAACCACACAATCTGATCCACCAAATCTTATCCAACTGAGATGCATCGTCTTTGGATGTGAGCAAGAAGGAGCAGTTACAAGGCAAAAGCAGGGTAGTTTAAACAAAATACAGACACAAACAGGGAAATAGACTATTTCAGAGTAGCTCAGTACAGGACGAAAACACAGGTATATATACATGATCCCGTGTCAATAAAATTGTTTAGGGGAACCTAGACGGTAGCCTCACATACCGTATTATGCAACAAACATTAACTCTGTAGCACTGCTCTGTAATACAAGCAACTTCAACATCTCTTTACAACAATATACATAGGCAACTTTTGAAAATGTTAATTTCTGCTGAGTTCAAATTAATTTGGAGAAAGCCTGATTTTAACAGACATCTCAGTGACTCACCTTCATGCCAGCCAGTGAGAGCATGTTGTTGAGTTTATACATCCCTGACTGAACTGGAGTAGTATACAACAGGGCATCATTAAACTGTAACACAGAAGCAATTCTCATCAATAACTAAAGACTGTTTAAAGACAGATCACTTCAGATATATTTTACTGAAAACATAAAATTTGTACAGCAGTAAAATCAACTGTCCAGGAGGGCATCTTAAGTCCCTTGTTACTTTGCTTAGAACCCAAGAAACATTTTCATGTATGAATTCAGGTAACAATAGATATCTATTCATATCCTCACTGTGTAAATATACATTTAGTACCTGATTAAACATGGCAAGGATGTCAGAGACCAGGTTGTCAAATAGGACATAACAAGTTTCTCATGCACACAGCTATATTGCATAAAAGTCTACTTTAAAATAATATTAGAACTAACCTCTCATACAAAGTAAAACATGCCAACATGTAGCAAGTATCAGAACTAAGATGAGGAATTTATAATTACAACTAGTAATTCACAATTACTTGCACAAACATATCCATGTGAACTTTATTTGTGTAAATGTTCTTTTCTAACAGACTTGTCAAGCTTCATTTACTGAACATAGAGCAGAAAACTGAACTGTCTCAAGGCTTTTGCTACTCAGATCTTTACAAAACAATCAAATGCTTCGCAAGTTTTATTACATCTTTATTAAATCCTTGCTTACTAAGTGCTTAAAGGCATAGACAGCATGCAACAACTTTTACATATTCAGGAAAAAAAGAAAAGACAACATTTGAGCTAAAGAGTTTTAAATTAGACSTCTTCTTTGGGAAGTCCAGCTTGAGACAGCACAAGATTTATATTACCTTGATGGACATCATTTGCACTTAYATCAGTGCTCTGTATGCTACAAATGAGTCTCTAGAACCTAAAATAGCCACTTCAAAACCTAGCACATGCACATCAAGTGTGCCTAGGAAATATTTATGCTTGCTGCAGTAGCTRAAAGATAAGATTTCAGCCATGACCATGAGCCCATAATGGCACAGCGAGCCACTTTACTGTCTAAAAAGCAGAGAGAAGCAAAAGGTTCAAGTGGAAATAGAAACTTTAGAGAAATACAAAAGTTTCAAAACAGTAGCAAGGACAGGAAGAGAACCCGGTGCTGTTGAGGATGTGTGCTGACTTCAGGGGGTGGGAAGGGGAAGGAGAAAATACAACAGCAGCAACAGAGTTGTAGGATTTAAGATCTAGAAGAACTGCCCGGGTGGAGTAACTGCTTCAGTTTTCCAAATATCCAGATGTCTTCTCGCAAAGTTGCTCAAATTTGAAGTGAGTGTTGTTCAAAACAGTAAACGCTGTCGAGAACTGGCTGTCTACTAAAACGTTACTGCATATAAAACAGATGGCCTCTCTAAGTTAGACTGAGAAAATAAATCAGCAACAGTTATTTTGGTCTCCTCATGGTCAACTCGCTATCATCAGCTGCTGGTGCAGTTTGTGCCACAGCTGTTTGAGCTATTTAAAATGTCACCAGTATCAGACACAGAAACACATGCAACAACTTACCAGAAAAAACATACGTGGCTGCATGACCTTCCGGGACAGCTTCATCAACGTTCCTTCTTTCAGAAAGACCTGGCAAATTAAGGCAAATAATTCAAAGCTCAGTGAGCTCAGCACAAGCCTCAATAAATAAACTATTTGCTTTTTCTTGAAATTGCTGCACTTGTAGTATTACTGAAGTTCGGGGATACAGGGTGTTTTAGCTTTAATACAGATAATAAGTAAGAAACCTTTAAGCATAGAAGGTTAGGAGGAAAAAAAATCTGGTTCTGAAATATACATGAAGTTATTAAGAGAATTAAGAGACTCTCTGCATTAAGAGAATTCTCTCGTATAGACAAAACATACATCAAACAAAACTTGTATCAGGACCACTATTTATTGCAGACAGTGTCACTTTCTTCTGCTACTGTTATGATAGGAAGGAATATTCAGAAGATACCAATTCCACACTATTTGCATCTAGGTAATAAGGCCAGGTTATAAAGGTCTTCATTCTGTTATCACTCAAGTCAGTAGTAACATTCACCTTGAAGTTTTCAGTTAAATCCTTCAGCCTGTTCATGAAATGGTGACTTGTAAGAAATATATTCCCACACATGGTCTTTATTTGTAAATTCACTCGTCTCCACCATCAATCAGTCCTCAGCAGAATTAATCCTCTTGTCTAGGGCCATGAACGTAATGAAAACAGACAGCGTGTGTGTGTGTGTGTTGGGGGGGGACTAAGTTTAACATATCTCCCTGAGGAAGGCTGCTCATCCTTATGCCTCACTAAAGTATAGAGGGATTGCGTGCTTTCATTCCAATTTTCCATGCTCCATTTGAAACCATGAAAGATTAAAGGTTAAGCATGAGATAAATACTGCCTGGAAGACTTGGCAGGGAATCACATTCTAAGAATTTTAAGTTTTCATCAGATAAATATTTTCCTAAACATATATATATATATATATATACACGTACACATGCATATGTGTACGTATATATATATTTATTTATACACACATATATTTCCCATGTGCAATATACAGACACACATATACATACACATGCATACTGCATATGGAGAAATAGTATTTATTTGACTGTCAGCAACAAATAAATGATGGATCTTTTCTTTTTCTTCTCAATATATGTCATCTCCATTACTGGTTGTGCTGTATTTTTACTGAAATGTGATGAAAGCCATTTGGAGGACCTACCCGTCCTGGCTGCACAATCTCATGGTGTCCATTTAAACTGTACTGAATCTGCATGAGCTTCTGAAAGTTGTCCTTTGGGGAGAAAAGGCAGAGATACAAGTAATTGTCCTTAAATCCA